TCGGGCCAACTGTGTACCTCAAAAATGGGTGTGCTTTTTTGTAAGGGACACCCTTTCTTGTTGACTTAAGGGGAAACCAAACGGAAAACCACCCTTTTGGGAGTCCCCTTACAATGAGACGCGCCGGTATGTTGAGACTGGGTAAAGTGTGATTCACCAACCCAAGGGTGGGGTTGCAGCACTCTCTAGGCCAAATTTGAGAGAGACCACATGCGGTGAAAGGACAGGTTTGCTTGGGGGATGGTCATGGACCCTTGCAAATATGGACAACATGTAAGGGTTCCTGATGAGGGAACCACGACCATAATGATGACTTCGGGTTGCGGAGGACCCTACTAACCCGAGGAGGCCCTAAAATAGCTCCTTTCTGTACTAAAAGGAACTTGCCACCCCTGCTTGGCATGGTCCCCCTGGGTTGATCAACATGTCCTTTACATGACCATTGGGTAAAACCACTAAATGGGTTGCCCGTGGTCATCTGGTGGCCGAACGGAATAGAGATCAACGCCCCAGTTGACTTCCATTTGCTTAAGCCCCCTTGACAAAGTAAAAATATATCTAGCAGTGATAGATTCCCTTCAAAACCAAGTGGGAAAAAATATTAAGCAGTTAGAAGTTGGCCTCAAGCCGAAACCATGCCAAGGCCACGCTTTGAACTCTTCCAGAACTTCGCGGCCACCTCCCCGTCCGCCTCCTCAGTCGTCGGCCCTCCTCCCATGATTCGGCACGGGGGCGAAACGAAAGCAAAGGCGTCCAGCATAAACCAAAGAAAGCCGAGCCACGTCTACTTCAAGCGTTGAGTCTGGGTCATCTTTTGGAGAGTTTGGATCAACTGTGTTTCTTTGGCTATGCAACTGAAAAACCGTGTTGTGGAGCTTGTATTGAACATGACTCCGTCAGCATCGGCTAATCATGAGTTCCAACGATTGGCACTTTGGACCAGATAAAACCGCCTGCCGCAGGCCTCTGGCACGCTTAGCCGACGGCAGCCCTGAATTTCTGGCAAAGCAACGCGCCCATCTCCACGCCTACACATACGTCAGTATGCACCAACCACGCCCGTGAAAGAAATACAATAGCCCGCTGGATGGCAGTTGTCCCTTGCCCAAGTATAGCTTGTTTGCCGGTCAGTCCAACAGAAACAACAGAACTCATAAGGTGCTCGAGCAATAATTTCATGGCTTTAAGTTCTACCAACAAGGCTCAGCACGGAGCCAGGCTGTAGAAACATGCTGAAGCCTTGCGCTTTCGAATGTGGCTTCACCACATGACACCAGCAAGCTTGATTCGATGAACGCCCTCCCAGAAGGCTCAGCAAGAGGTCGCTTGATTCGATGAACGCCCTCGATTTTTTTGGAAGGCAAACAGGCCTGGTCAGGTTCCATGTCAGGTTCCATGTTGATTGGGTGGGAGGGCAAGGGGTGCCCGTTGAGCCGCCGGCCGAATCCCACGAAGCACGCAGACCCATGCGCACAAAACGTGCCGAGCTCCGTGGCCTTGCAACAAACCTCAGAAACTGACACAGGCACCAAACAACCCACAAAAGCGACCGAAAACAGCCGATGATGCTAAACAAAAAAAAAACAAAAACGGCCAAGAACAACATAAAGATCCTGAAGAACTCAGAAACTCAAGCCCCCAACGAGCCGCACACCACGCATCTGACATGTCAAGCGGCTGCTTCGCGGACCCCTTCGGAGGCTACAGCTTCGTTGAACGTAACCACCGCCTCGCGCTGTGTTTGGCCACGAAAGCGAGGAGCGGTGTATGTCAAAATCGGGAAAACCGAGTTTGTTGAGACACCTACCCTGCAAACCTACCAAGAAAGTGGGGTATGCCAAACTAGCGAAACCTCGAGCTGGCAATCCCTAGTCCACACCCCTTCGACACCCCTTACACCAGGAAGACAACATATTGGAAGGAAGTAAGCAGGCATTTCAGAATAAAATAATGGCAAGCTGGATAATCCTCGGCGACAGTGCCCAGGCAAGAGCAAAATAGGGCATGTTTGGAGGAACAAATACCGTGCTGACAGTTGTTAGATCATGTTAATATATGAATAATTGCAATACTCAGCATGACAAACCACTGCACTGCACATGGGGCCAACGAAAACTGTCGCGAAAAACCATCATAGCTTCTAGTTGTGCCACATAGCAATTCATGCTTCATGCCAGACTTGGCGCAAACACATTTGCCTGTCCAGTGGACCTTTACCTTTACCGTAGCAGAATGTGCTTGATGCGTGTTAGCTGTTTCGGGTGCATTGGAGGTGGCCTTTGATCCTCTTTCGGGTCTTGCCCGCCAGCCCGAACGGACGAGCCAAAGGAAGGCAAGCAGTTGGAAGGAGTGGGTCTCGGTTGTCGACTCGGGTGTTGTCATAAAGCCAGCCGTGCCCGGGCTAAGAAAACCTGCGAAAATGCGCGAGGAATTCGAAGGGATCTGAAATCTTGGCGGGGGTGACCTGCGAGATGAACCATACCACATTTGTCAAGAAAAACAGAAAACCACACTTGAGCCCCCAAATGCACATTGGTTTGCCTATGATGCTTCCTGATAAATGGAACCCGCTTTTTGTGATTCTGACTTACTTGCACTGTGGCCAGGAATGATAAAGCACGATAGTAGTATACGGTATTAGGAATAAACACTCACATTGCGATTCACTTCTCCCACATCCCTGCCAATTAGCTCTGCTTTAGGACACAGCGAGACATAGGCCAACCTTTCGGACAGAATGGCAGTGGCCAATGAAGATCCAGCCACCTCATGGACCAGACCTTTTTCTTCCACGGCTTTTTACACGCCCAGTTGGATCTGCCCCAACCGAAAGCACGCCTTGGCCAAGGTCACCACTTCCCGGTCGATCTCCGGCTTCCTGCGGATGGTGACCTCCTTGCTGTCGGTTGCCTCAGGCGCGACGCGGCAATCAAAACTTGCGATCGGTGCGATGGGTGGGGAATGATAAATGGAATAACCCCTTTTTTAAGCCATCCAACTGGTGGTTTCCCTACGGGATTTCTGGGTTCTTCCATTTCTCATTACCTACTTATCGCACCAGCAAGAAAAACCTACGGGGCACAACGGCTTTCCATAGACATTTGGGTGGCTGTGGTAGTGGCTGAAGTCCATGCAACGACAGAAGTTCTTACAAGTTGCCCCCGAGAGCGCATGCCAAATTCAGAGCCTGGATCAATTTGGGTACCTGGGCAGTGGCCGGACTCCGGCAGGTGACGGGGCCCAATTACAGCGAGAGGCTTGGGCCAAGCAAGATGGACTCGCACATCCAAAAGAAGCAACTCCAGTCCCGTTCTTTGCCAAAGCGCGGCCAGGACATCTCCGAAGCTGCCAGCAACCTGCTCAGCAAACGCGGGCGAGCGGCTTCATTTCCTTCTGAGCCTATGCTCGCATCCACGGGCAACCATCCTCTTTGGGTATTCCTGCAAACAGGCCCAAATCCGCTACCCGACCTTTGGATGTGTTGATGGCTCAGCAGATCGTGTATCGACACTACGTTTCGGAAATTTGGTTTGACGGGTTGGTGTCTTGTCTTGCTGGCGTGTGCTTGGTATTTGGGGAACGCTATGGCTTGACGTCTTGGTGGGTTTGTTGGCATCTTGGTCACACGGGAAGACACAGCACATGACATCAGGAATCAACTTTGTTTCCCAGAGGAAGACACAGCACATGACATCAGGAATCAACTTTGTTTCCCAGACCTGAACATTCCAAGCCAATCTCCCTCCATATTTACATTTATCAAACCACACGGCAAACTATCAGAGCTGCCTGAGCAAGGAATCTTCATCACGAGGAAGCAAACAAATCACCTGTGTGAGGTCACGCAACCTCTCCCGGCCTTCTCCTTTTTGCCGCTTGCTTCAGCCTGCCGTTTGCAAAGCACAGCCGGAGTAGCCCAATCCAAGAGACCATTCTCACGAAAATTACCAATCGCCCACCTGAATGCAGGAATCCCCCCATTACGGAACTTTCATAAGCAATAAGCTTGCTTTACCCCCGGCTGAGCTCACTAATTTCAGCATCTTGGCTTCTCTGAGTTCGGAGATAGCAGCTCCAGCGATTCATCTAGCTGGCAGTGACTCACAAATGAAGCCGCTAAGGGTGTATGACTTTGAGCTGAAAACTACGCGCTTGCCCGCAACTTTCTTCTACAACTTTGGTGCGGCAAACCGTGAATTTTTAGTTGACGAACGGTGCGTCACAACCCTTCAGCTTCCTAAGTATGGCAGGTACTGCAAAGCAGCTCTAACGACACCCCCGCCACTTGCCTTGGCTTTCGCCTTTCCCTTCGCTTTGGCTTTCGCTTTGGCTTTGGCCTTGGCTTTGGGGCTGACCTCAGTCGACCAAAGCAAGAGACCCCGCTTGTGGGGTGGAGGGTGTTGTGGCAATTCTGCGTGGATTTCCACTGGCTTCCCTGCAACTGATCCACATGAGCAAAGGTTGCCCTCGCGAAAGGCGGCGAGACACCAACAGCTAGGGAGCGAGAAAACAACTTTCAGATACCCTGAACAGAGCGGAGATAATGGTGACAACTGACTAGTAAACCCCCCCCTCCCCCCGCCCCCTTCAAGGTCGACAAGGTTTGGACAAGTCCCAAAGTCTTTTGGGAGGACCCCCCTGATTACTCTGGAGCCCCTTCGGTCCTCGTCCACTTACTTCTGGTCCCTTTGGGGCAGTAGGACTTTAAAAGGCAACAGCACATGTTTGTTGGTTTTGAGCCCAAAAGGGCCCTGATTAATCGCGGGGGGGTTCCTGTTAATGAGGGGGGACTGGCCTCCAAGGGGGGTCCCCTTTGTGAGCTTGAAAACCTTGTCATTTTAAACAAATTTTAATAAAGAAAAATGCATTTCGGGGGAAGCACATTTTTGGGGAAAAACTTGAGGGGGTCACTAGTGACTTAGTATTGGTGGGTTTAAGCACAGACTAAGCAAATACTAAGCAAGAAGGAAAGCACCTTTTCTGGCAGGTTTTTGTTGGCTTGGGGGCTGCAAAGGGATAATTACCTTTAATCAGGGGGGGTTTTGGGGAGGGCCCAAAAATAATTGGGTAGGGTTTTTTGGGGGAAACCTTGTTGGCACTTTACTTTAGTATTGGTGAAAATCTGGGGGGGAAAAGGGGGAACCTTTAATCGGGGGGGTTTACTAATCGTCTCCTGACACTACCAACAAACATGATCAATCTAGGTAAAGACCCTAACCAATTTGTATGACAGTTGTTAAGGGGTTTAATTCGGACGGCCCTTTCTCGGCGTGGGAACAAGTGCTTGAATTTCATGCGACAGGCATCGGCCACAGGGAACTCCGCCGCCCCCTGCTGATTTTTGTCAAGCCGTTGTAAGAAAATAGCCAGAAGTGAAGGCGTCCTGTCACAAACGTGGGCACCAAGCCCTCATGCCCACAATTCTGCGAAATAACCAAGGAGCCACCGCATGATACGAACTCGAAACCAGCTTCACACGTAACATGTATTGCCCCTTGGCTCCTACTACTTGTGCTTTTCAAGGATGCTCACGGGGATTCCTCCACGAACATTTTTTTTTTTTCGGGGATCCATGCCAACATGCAGAAGAGCATGGGCTGACGTCGCCATAACGATCGCTTGAGGTCGCCATAACCCCAAAGCCAAGCCCAAACGAGCTGCCTTCATCTCTTTCGAGCGTCCTTCAAATGGGCTCTATTCATCCGGGGGAAACCCATGGCACACCTCATGTTTGTTAGCAGCATCTACCAACCTGGGCCAAGTATGTCGCTGGCACAACCCAAACCGTAAGAAATGTGTGAGCCATTGAATCCCTGGCGTCACCGATGAGCAATTCAAAACTTGACTTACTGCCCTCAAGCCTGGCTATCAAATTTACCCCCGTGTTGGGAAAGCAAATCTGAAGGATTGTACAGGTTATAGTCTGCCTCTGTTGCAGCACAGGAATCAACGCCAGCCATCAGCCTGATCAAAGGGCTTGTGTCCAAAAATGGGCTCATGCGTGGCTTTGTGCAAGTCGTGGTGAACAGCATCCCTGCCAAACCTAGTGCACAAAGAACACCTTGTCCAACAGATCTGTGCCCTTTTATGGGTGCCCAGTGCTTCTTTCCACAGGGACCAATACTTGGGCAACCGAACGACGGCTGTCCAAATTGCCAGCAGGAGCCAAATGCCCTTCCGCGGAACGCCGACTGGGTTTTGCATAGTAGAGCATTTGGAAAGTCAGAAACGCATTCATTCCTTTTCGTCCACTTGTGATTTCTGTTCGGGGAAATCAATCGTTCTAAGCTGCAGCTTAATTGTTCTTGTAGCGCCACGCCGCCAAGAATAGCAAGGCTGTTGCCACCGAGCATCCACCTCCCTGAAAGGCAATGACACAGTCATGTTGCCATAAATGTATCAGCAACAAAACACAAACGCTCATGTCCAACAACTGGCAGGCAGTATCAGCAACACTAGAAAACGATGGGTTTACATGATCGCACTTTATTCAGGACAAACTCATGGGGGTGGCTTTGAAACGAACCCCCAAAAAGAACACCAATTTCAAGTTGCAAGAGTTGTCCTACTTTGAGATTAACCTGCATCTGCACGCTGCCTCAGAGTTTCCCCACCCCCCCGGACGCATTCTCCGAGCGCCCCGCAGCATCAGTGCCCGTGACGTTGTCTACGGCGGAACACGCGCAAAGTGTGGGAAAAAGTAGCTGATAGGGGCGTTAGGGCCATGCAGAAGAAACTCACGTGAAGCGCCACTCTTTACAACGTGCCCGTGACCTGTGGTGTTCGGGATGTCGCAATATCCCCGCGCACTTTTGTGGAAACGCCCGCGATGGGTGAGCTGGCTTCCTGCAGCCTTCGAAGCGGCCGGACTTGTGGCTTTGGAACCCGCCACCCTTTCCTTTTCTTGCAGCACCCTCCTCGCAGGTGTTTGGTTCATTTTGGTTCACACCGAGTCTCTGAGAGTGCATGAAACCCAAAAACTTACCGGGATCAGCTCCAAATGTCTATCAGTTTCTACCTGAGGGTTCAAAACCAAGTTGTGTCTACCTCGGGTAAACAACAAGTTGCGTCTACCTGAGAGATAACTTCCTGATTCCCGGTTGCATCTTTGACCATTTCTGGTGGAATCTTCTCACCCACCCCACCCCACCCACCCCACCCGACTGCGAAAAGCAAACAACAACAACAGAAAAGCCCGAGCCGACCGCCGAGCGATCGATCGGCCTGCAAGGCGCAGGCGCTTCCGCGCCGGCCCCTGAAAAAAGCAAACCGATGCGGTTGCACTTGGATGGTACGCCGTTTGGGGTTTGTCTCGGGACCTAACAAATTGAAGGGATTGGGGTCGATTGGTGACCTGAAAATAGGTAGTCGCAGTTGGCAAAGTTAAGCTTTGATTGGCTTTGGCTTTGGCTGACCGGCTCTGCCAGCATTTTGTGTTTTCATACCCGGGTGCCCTATTTTAAACGGCTCTGTGCAAGCAAGTCCGTCGCATGCTTGGCACGGCTTCATGCTCCTCCAGGTGTTCTCAAAACCTGAAAAAACACAACACTCCATCCAACTGAGGGCTCGGGAAGCCTGAGGTAATTAGTAACCAGAAGATCACCCTACCGCGCCCTTTCAAGAGTCTGGGCGGACCCCTCGACTTTTGCCCCTGTGCGTTGCTCTGTGGCAAAACTGCTGGCAAAGGGAACTGACATGACTCCAAACATGTGGATGGTGTCCCTCATTTTGACACTCTCGTGAATTACCTTGTAGCACTGCTAGGAATCAATTGAGCACTCGCAAGTTTAATGTACTTTGTTTTGAAGAAAACAGAAAGCTTCTACAGTTTATGGTTCCGCACAACCACGCCACTGCGACAAAGCAGCGCACGAGGAGCCGATGGTTCACATGCTGTGTGGCCACAATCTGGGAGTGTTGACGGCAGCGATCTGCAGAGATCGCAACTGGGATGTCCTCAGATCCCCCCTCAAAGCTATGTTTAGTGGGTTAAATAGAAATCCCCACCAAACACTCAAAAGCTAAACACCCAAAGACAAACACCAAAGGGGATGGCTGGGAAAAGTGGCAAGGTGACAAAATCCACTTGCTCGGAGAGTGAAGGCAGCCATTTCGAAAGACGCGCTTGCGCGTGCTTCTTTGGCTGGCAGGTCAAACCATGTCTGAACCTCTCAAATCACGCCCTCATGTTGCTCAGTTGCCGATGAGAAAACATCACTTGAACTCAAGGTATGGTCGAAAGGTAAGATCTTGGATTTCAAACAGAAATTAAGGCATGGTTTCAAACAGCAATTTGAGAAATTAATTTTGAAACGAAAGGTAAGTTGGATTTCCGAAATGGTCGAGGGGAGCCATGGCCTGAGGCATTGAAGCCAGTTTGGCGTGAGACGGTCTTTTCTCCCACAGCTGTCGCCTCCAAACTTATGAAAAAACAAAAACAAACAGACAAACAGACAGACAAACAGACAAAGAAACAAACAAACAGAAAAACAACCAAACAAACACATGTTGAATAACCTTCAAATCTTCGAAAGGAGTATTCCCAGACTCCTTCTCACGATCTTACCTCGGATGCCCAAAAGATGCCACTCCCGCCTCTGGGCTTTCGGCATCCTCGGCTGGGACAGTTCGGGTGGCTGGCTGGAACCCTTGATATGGCCATGGACGCCAAACTCCAAAACGGTCAGCCCCCAGTGAACATCCGATTCAATCCAACCACTAAAATAGGAAGCCTAAAATGGGTGGTGAATTCACCTACCCCAAAATGGTACCATTAGTTTTGACCCACAGATGCCCACACTGTGTGGATATGGATTTTAACTCCTTCTCTGTCAAGGGGCTTGTGCCCAGTGGGCCTAAAGCCGATTCAATTTGCCACCATGCTTTTTGGCTTGCCGTGCGTTCTCAGGATCTGCATTTGAGACGTGCCAGCCATCCATCTGGCCCAAAAGGGACCAGTTGAAATCAAAAGGTCAACCCTCCTAAGGCTCCAAAACTCGCTCAAGCTGCTGATTGATCTTTTCCGGGCAAAACATCAGGAGCAAAACACAAAGACAAAAACCGGGTCCGGTTCAACATGCGCATGCTATCGCATGCTGACCTTGGCAAAATGTTTGTGTGTGATATCTCCTGATTGGTAGGCAACAGTCAAAGAAACCGTTTCATGGGGGCTGGGGGGGAGGGAGGGGAGGGGGGAGGGAGCCCTAAATAAGGCCTTATTAAGGGCTTAATAGGGGCTTATTTAGGGCTCCCTCCCCCTCTCCCTCCCCCCCAGCCCCCATGACCGTTGCATCCCGCAACTAACATGTGTTCATAAAGGGGGACATACATTATGAACATACACATCAGCAGGTGAGTGGAATGTTGGGAAGTTCAATGCCAGTATATGCGACGTTTCACACGTTTACTCCGGCGAATACGCCAAGTGCAAATACCATGCGGGACGGCCTATGCGAGGTACATGTAAGCACGAAAGTGCTCCACGTTTTTTCAGCAGTAATTTGATGTAATTTGCATGCACGGGGCGTGATATGTCTCCTTTTGCCCCTTTACACCACCAAAAACGACTGCGTCGAGTTCTCCCCCTCTCGTCCCCTCCAGGCCCGGCCACCTCGGCTGACGGCGCGACAGCCGAGGGCGCGGCCTGGATGGGACGAGAGAGGCACCAAAAACTCAAAGGCGGCGGTCCGAAAAATGTACGGCGCCAGCCCCAAGAATTGGCTGTGGCTCAAAAAAAGGTACCCCAAATAAAACCCTAGTGGACACATGGACCAAAACCTGCGGTCCATATCCTGGTGGTTTCATTTTGACCCATACCCAATTGTTCATAATCCCGTAATTCCCAATGATTGTTGTGCCCCGCTGGCCAAGGTCCTAAGAAATGATTCTTCCAACTGCTATGCCTGGCCGTTTCGTTGGCTAGGCAATAGCCAACGAGTGTGTCTCACTCCCATAGGCATTGCCCCCATGTTGGACAGCTGGACCATTGGAGAACTGCCAACTAAAGCCATCCACCCGAGGAGGTTTAATGCGTTTCCAAAAAATGGTTGCCTACCCTGAGTAGTGGAACCAACTGGGGCCTGGCCTCCAATCCAAGGCAATTTGCTTGGGAATCAAGGGGGCTCAATCTGTCACATTGATTGGCTTACTCAGCGTCATGCGAACATCCACCATGGTTCGTAGGCTGTCCCACCCAAACAAATGCATGATTGCTTTGAGCCAAGACAAAATGACACGCTTGCAAGCATGTAACAACGTATGTATTATATATACAAATAGTTGTACGTGTGTATCTATGTGTGTGTGTATGTGTCTATGCATGTATGGCATGTCATGTCACGTCTATTTATGTATGGCATGTCATGTCATGTCGTGTCATGTCATATCATATCATGTCATGTATGCATGCATGTGTGTATGTATGTATGTGTGTATGTGTATGTATGTATGCATGGATGGATGGATGGACGGATGGACGGATGGACGGATGGACGGATGGATGTATGGATGTCTGTATGTATGTATGTATGTATGCATGTATGCATGTATGCATGTATGCATGTATGCATGTATGCATGTATGCATGTATGCATGTATGCATGTATGCATGTATGCATGTATGCATGTATGCATGTATGCATGTATGCATGTATGCATGTATGCATGTATGCATGTATGCATGTATGCATGTATGCATGTATGCATGTATGCATGTATGCATGTATGCATGTATGCATGTATGCATGTATGCATGTATGCATGTATGCATGTATGTATGTATGTATGTATGTATGTATGTATGTATGTATGTATGTATGTATGTATATGTACGTACTAATGGAATGTAACGTAATGTAATGCAATGTAATGCATGTCTGTATGTATGTACGTATGTAGGTAGGCACGCACATGTCCGTGTATGCATGTACACAAAGTGTACGCATGCATGTGCATACGGACGTGCACATATGCGTGCGTGTGCGTATGTGCGTATGTGCGCGTGCACGTATGTTTCCATGTATGTGTTGGTGTATAGTTGTACCCATATATGTACCTATGTCAGTCCGTAAATGAGTCTGTATGCATGGAGGCAGGTATGTATGTACGTACGTACGTATGTATGTATGTATGTATGTATGTATGTATGTATGTATGTATGTGGGTATGTACGTATGTAGGTACACAGGTACGTAGATAGGCAAGGTAGGTAGGTAGGTAGGTAGGCAGTTGTGTAAGTAAGTATGTAAGTAAGTAAGTATGTATGTATCTATCTATATATGTATGTATGTATGTGTGTATGTATGTATGTATGTATGTATGTATGTATGTATGTATGTATGTATGTATGTATGTATGTATGTATGTATGTAGATCTGCATGTATGTATGCATATGTTGTATGTACGTATGTGTGCATGTGTTTGTGCCTATGTTCGATTGCTTGCTTCCCTCTAGCAATGCCTAAGCCCAAGCGCATATCCTGGACCCCACATCCGTCAAGCTGCGGATGCCGGGGCTGCTCCAGCCGCAGGCGCAGCGGGCTCAGGGCTGACCTAGAAACAGCCGTGTCCCTGATGGCTGTCTTGTGATCCTCCATTTGCTTAAGACCCCTGGAAAAAAAACAACTCCTCCAGTAGTGATAGATTCCCTTGAAAACCAAAACGGGAAAAACAAAATAAAAACAACATCTTAAGCAAATGGAAGTGATTGGGTAGCATGGGAAGGAGTCGGGGCACCAGAAACTCTTGCATGGTCCACCATGGTGTTAAATGGCACCAAACAAGTGCCATGGTTCCTGAACTGTTTGGTTTTCCCTTTTTCTGGATTGCGGAACCCGACACGTTGCGTTACGCAGCCAACTGGGGGATAGTTGCAACTTGGCTTAAGCCCGACTGGAGGAGTCGGGATGGCCTTAGCGTAAAACAGTTTAAGTTCTTTGCCTTCAGCAAGCTTTCTCTGTGCTGTGATTCTGAGACCAATCTCAAGCTGCACGCAATGACCTGGGCTCCCCGAAAAAGGGCCCCATGTTTGGTCAGCCCCCATTGTCCCTGTCAATGGTTGGCATACTGCTCAGCGTCAATTGAACATCCACCACAAACCGTAGGCTGTCCCGCCCAAAGAAATGCACGAGGAGTGCTTTGAGACCAGACAACCTTTGCCCGGCAATACATTGCACAAGGCCTTGTTATAACATGCCTGGAGGTACAACTGTAACAATGCTATGATATGCTTGTTTGCTTCACTCTGATTATGATCATAAAACGCAACACATATCCTCATTCCATGCACCTGGGGGGGCTTTCAAGGACCCCACATTCGACAAGCTGCCTCGGCTGATGCCAGGGCATTTGCAGCCGCAGGCGCAACGGCGGGCTCAGAGCTGACCTGGAAACGGCTGTGCCCCAGATAGCTCGCTTGTGGTGACTGGGTGACATGGGAGGAATCACATGGATTCGGAGGAATCACAAGGATTCGGGGGACATGAAAGTCGAATGGCTGTCGGAACATGACTGCTTACTCACCCCCGCACCAAGATCTACGAGGGTGTGGGCAAGCGGGTCTGGCTCAAAAGTCGGGAGTGCAAAGCTTCGATTGTCAGGAAGCCCAATAAAACCCAACAAACACTCTCCATCCGGCCCCAACACTTTGACTCGCAAGTCATGGCACCAAAAACTGTGCTACCTGCAGTGGAAGCCGCAGAGGGCTCCAAAACTTTGTTTGCTCGGGACTGGGCGAGAATTTAAGCCCAATCGAATGGCGAATGAGCATGAAACACTACGTAAGTGCTTATTATACACCACGCTTTCTGAATCTTTCTGATTTCTTTGCAGCTGCGCCAGGATTTGTGCTCCATGTGGTGGGGACAGCCAAAGAATGCCTTTTGCGCACCATGTCAAGCGTCTGCACACAATGACCCTGGGCTCCCCGAAAAAAGGCCCCATGTTTGGTCAGCCCCCATTGTCCCTGTCAATGGTTGGCATACTGCTCAGCGTCAATTTGAGCATCCACCATGGACCGTAGGCTGTCCCACGCAAATAGCAACATGATTGCTTTGAAAAGAGACAACCGTTTCACGGCCATACATTGCATAAGGCCTTGTTATAACATGTCTGGAGGCAAAAGTGCAACAATGCTATGATATGCTTGTTTGCTTCACTCTGCTTTTGATCATAAATCAACATGCATATCCTTATTCCATGCAAATGGGGGGGGGGGGGCGTTCAAAGACCCCACAGTCGCCAAGCTGCCTCGGCTGATGCCAGGGCATTTGCAGCCGCAGGCGCAACGGCGGGCTCAGAGCTGACCTGGAAACGGCTGTGCTCCAGATAGCTCGCTTGTGGTGACTGGGTGACATGGGAGGAATCACAAGGATTCGGGGGACATGAAAGTCGAATGGCTGTCGGAACATGACTGCTTACTCACCCCCGCACCAAGATCTACGAGGGTGTGGGCAAGCGGGTCGGGAGTGCTTTCTTTTCGATTGTCAGGAAGCCCAATAGAACCCAACAAACACTCTCCATCCGGCCCCAACACTTTGACTCGCAAGTCATGGCACCAAAAACTGTGCTACCTGCAGTGGAAGCCGCAGAGGGCTCCAAAACTTTGTTTGCTCGGGACTGGGCGAGAATTTAAGCCCAATCGAATGGCGAATGAGCATGAAACACTACGTAAGTGCTTATTATACACCACGCTTTCTGAATCTTTCTGATTTCTTTGCAGCTGCGCCAGGATTTGTGCTCCATGTGGTGGGGACAGCCAAAGAATGCCTTTTGCGCACCATGTCAAGCGTCTGCACACAATGACCCTGGGCTCCCCGAAAAAAGGCCCCATGTTTGGTCAGCCCCCATTGTCCCTGTCAATGGTTGGCATACTGCTCAGCGTCAATTTGAGCATCCACCATGGACCGTAGGCTGTCCCACGCAAATAGCAACATGATTGCTTTGAAAAGAGACAACCGTTTCACGGCCATACATTGCATAAGGCCTTGTTATAACATGTCTGGAGGTAAAAGTGCAACAAGGCTATGATATGCTTGTTTGCTTCACTCTGCTTTTGATCATAAATCGACATGCATATCCTCATTCCATGCAAATGGGGGGGGGGGGGGTTCAAAGACCCCACAGTCGCCAAGCTGCCTCGGCTGATGCCAGGGCATTTGCAGCCGCAGGCGCAACGGCGGGCTCAGAGCTGACCTGGAAACGGCTGTGCTCCAAATAGCTCGCTTGTGGTGACTGGGTGACATGGGAGGAATCACAAGGATTCGGGGGACATGAAAGTTGAATGGCTGTCGGAACATGACTGCTTACTCACCCACGCACCAAGATCCCCGAGGGTGTGGGCAAGCGGGTCGGGAGTGCTTTCTTTTCGATTGTCAGGAAGCCCAATAGAACCCAACAAACACTCTCCATCCGGCCCCAACACTTTGACTCGCAAGTCATGGCACCAAAAACTGTGCTACCTGCAGTGGAAGCCGCAGAGGGCTCCAAAACTTTGTTTGCTCGGGACTGGGCGAGAATTTAAGCCCAATCGAATGGCGAATGAGCATGAAACACTACGTAAGTGCTTATTATACACCACGCTTTCTGAATCTTTCTGATTTCTTTGCAGCTGCGCCAGGATTTGTGCTCCATGTGGTGGGGACAGCCAAAGAATGCCTTTTGCGCACCATGTCAAGCGTCTGCACACAATGACCCTGGGCTCCCCGAAAAAAGGCCCCATGTTTGGTCAGCCCCCATTGTCCCTGTCAATGGTTGGCATACTGCTCAGCGTCAATTTGAGCATCCACCATGGACCGTAGGCTGTCCCACGCAAATAGCAACATGATTGCTTTGAAAAGAGACAACCGTTTCACGGCCATACATTGCATAAGGCCTTGTTATAACATGTCTGGAGGTAAAAGTGCAACAAGGCTATGATATGCTTGTTTGCTTCACTCTGCTTTTGATCATAAATCGACATGCATATTCCATGCAAATGGGGGGGGGGGGGAGTTCAAAGACCCCACAGTCGCCAAGCTGCCTCGGCTGATGCCAGGGCATTTGCAGCCGCAGGCGCAACGGCGGGCTCAGAGCTGACCTGGAAACGGCTGTGCCCCAGATAGCTCGCTTGTGGTGACTGGGTGACATGGGAGGAATCACAAGGATTTGGGGGACAGGAAAGTCGAATGGCTGTCGGAACATGACTGCTTACTCACCCCCGCACCAAGATCCCCGAGGGTGTGGGCAAGCGGGTCTGGCTCAAAAGTCGGGAGTGCAGAGCTTCGATTGTCAGGAAGCCCAATAGAACCCAACAAACACTCTCCATCCGGCCCCAACACTTTGACTCGCAAGTCATGGCACCAAAAACTGTGCTACCTGCAGTGGAAGCCGCAGAGGGCTCCAAAACTTTGTTTGCTCGGGACTGGGCGAGAATTTAAGCCCAATCGAATGGCAAATGAGCATGAAACACTACGTAAGTGCTTATTATACACCACGCTTTCTGAATCTTTCTGATTTCTTTGCAGCTGCGCCAGGATTTGTGCTCCATGTGGTGGGGACAGCCAAAGAATGCCTTTTGCGCACCATGTCAAGCGTCTGCACACAATGACCCTGGGCTCCCCGAAAAAAGGCCCCATGTTTGGTCAGCCCCCATTGTCCCTGTCAATGGTTGGCATACTGCTCAGCGTCAATTTGAGCATCCACCATGGACCGTATGCTGTCCCAATTAAATCGAGATGAGACAAGCATTGCACGGCCACAAATTGCACAAGGCCTTGTGATGACATGCTTCACTCTGATTTATCATACATCGACAAGCATTGTCCTCATTTCATGCACCTGGGGGTCTTCACCCGGACCCCAAACTCGCCAAGCTGCCTCGGCTGATGCCAGGGCATTTGCAGCCGCAGGCGCAACGGCGGGCTCAGAGCTGACCTGGAAACGGCTGTGCCCCAGATAGCTCTCTTGTGGTGACTGGGCGACATGGGAAGAATCAAAAGGATTCGGGACACCTGAAGCTCTGCCTGTCCCCCGTCACAGAACAGAACACCCTTCCACAAGGTTTGTGCACATGAGGGCTGAATTCTTTAGAGGGGTCTAATTCCAAGCCAACTGCTGTGAAGCTGCTGACTTACTTAGCTGCTAGGCTTAGCTCCAACAATGACCAAGGTTCAGCTTGCCTCTTTGGGGGGCACAATCAAGCATCGCGCTATTTGTTGCTCAGCACCGTTGGAGCCTTCTCTCAGGAGTGTCCAGCCAAATCTAACATGTGAATATGGCTGTTCCTGGAATGGCAACGTGCGTGCGGGACATCAGTGTCAGCAAGAGCTTTGGCAACTCAGTCTGTGTTTTACTCACGCCCTGAGTGGATGGCCAAAAAAAAACTGTTTGCTTGCCACCAAATTGGTCTTCCCCAAAAGTATATAAAGTCCAGAAACTCAGGAAGCGAGTTTAAGAAATGGCAGCAATGCAGGCAGGTGGCATCCGCATTCCTCACAGGAGACCGTAAGGCTGCTGTGCCACGGGGAGGCGTCTGCAGACCATCCTGCAGTCGACGCGCCGCATCCGAGCGAAGATGCTTTGCAAAGCAGAGGACGTTTCAACAATCCAAGTGACAGTCTCAAAATTAAATACCCTGGATCTGACCTGGAAATCCATGGAATCAAAAACAGCGACCCCTGTCCAAACGGCTTTCAACACACCTTATCAAAAAATCCGCCATTTCTGGGACTTCCTATTTCAGGAGACACACACACACACCTCTTAGTTGCGGAAATCCTTACGGCACGGGCCTTTTAGGGGTCCCTCCTGTTGGCTTGCGGATGAGTATATCCCGTACTGCTCCAAGGTTTGAGCAAATCGCAGTGTCTGCTTCGAACCGATAACGAAGCCGGCAACAGAAATATGCCTTTGCTTGGGTGAGAGTGATGCCATCGTGTTGAAACCCGTTGGACGGCAACAAGAGATTAAATCTCATGGATCCTGTCAGGTCGTCGCCACAAACACATGAGGCGCGGCTCCGACCCGCGCAAATCCACCAGGTTTGAATGAAGCGGCGACCGCTCCGACCCCTGCAATGATCTCAACCGCAGTCAGAAATCGGGGCTCACCTGAAATTATTCTGCTCAAAATCACTGACTAATCCAAAGGAATCGGCTCGCGGCTTTACTTTCTTTGGTCCATTCTGCATCTTGCCTGGTATATGTTCGCTTGCCAAGAACTGGACTTCGACATGCGTGGAACGCTCAAAACACTCCTCGTATTGATCGGGAGTTTCATTCGGAACGCTCTGTGAGGAACATCTTAAAATATGCCCTTTGGGCGTTCCATCAATCCCAATTCCAATCGCCTGGCGAAAGAGACCCCCCAACTTGCTGAATTTTGTTTCGTGGTGCAATGGCCAACCAAACGGTCCCGTTAAAATCCCTTCGCGTGGCCCAAGCCAACCTCGGCCGCAAGGACTGGCTCCGCCGGAGCCCCAGCAATGACGTCCTCAGGCAAGCTGGTTCTCAGAAGGGGTCACTGTTTGGATGTTGAGAGGCAACCAAAAGACAACCACCCTTGACGGCTAGCTAGCGCTGGGGCTTCTCAAAGTTGAGGCTTATGGACCAATTTCTTGAGGCCATGATGAGTTCCAACTGTCCGGGCCAAGGTTGGACATCTTCTGGTCGCTAGAGTGCGTCAGTGCGACCGGGCCAAAGCAGAATATCCTGCATAGAATGCCTGGTCACAATCAAGCAGCAACATCGCTTTTGCAGCAGCGGGCTGCGCACAAAACAAATGGAAAGCGCATCACCGCCCAACATGGGTATGGGTCAAAATTCAACCACCAGGAATTGGACCGGTCAAATCGTCCATGTCTCCATTTGCCACAATTTTGGGGTTACCCTATTTTGACCCACAGCCATATTTGCAAAACAATGGCCGCAGTGCAGACAAGCGGCTTCTGCATTCCTCGCAGGAGACCGCAATGCCGCAGTGGCACGGGGAGGTGTCCGCAGACCGTCCTGGCCATCTCGAAATGATGATCGGTTTCCCTGTCAAAACCATCCAACACGTGGTCTAACATGCTCAGAACAAAAAACTATGTTCAATCAAACTGACCTATGAGGGTATGTATGTTTCTTGCATGCAGCTTTGCAATGGAAACCTTGACTTGGCCAAGGACATGAATACCCATTTAGCCGCTTACCCGGTTCTAATCATCTCCGTGTTCCCCCGAGTTTTCAGTGGCCCGAAGGTCAGGCTCCGTAAGTGCAAAGCTGTCCCTCACGCCTGTGACCAACACATTTCCGCAAGAACCTCGTGCCAACACAGAGCATCGCAGCCTATGCTGTAGCTGTAGCATGTTGCATATTTCTCACATAAATGGACTCAATGGCACAGCAACAAGTCAAGTCGGATGCTACACGGTCTCCTGTTGTGTCCAAAGTAAGGGTTGCCGACTGCCAATCAAAATCCTAAATAGCTGAGCCTTCTCTGGAATACTTCCCTAAACTCTAATGAAAATCCAGATTCCGGCTGGCACAATAAGAAGCAATCAGGCTTGTTCCCTTTTTGACTAGTGGTCTCTCTGGGCTACCTGTTCTAAGCTGGGCTGTGAGAAATGACCACTTCTGTGATACAAAAAAAGGTGTCTGAAAGACTAACCCCCTATACAAAGAGGGAGATTCCCTTTCATAGAAGTGGGGGATAAACCCCTTGATCCCACAACCCTGGTTCTAACGCTGAAAGCACTGGGAAGCTTTTGGAATGGGGAGCGGGCGGAAAGAACCCTCGGCGAAGAAGAATGCTCTCCTGAATCGGCCAGTTCTATGCAGCTTGGTTGTACATAGGAGAAAACACACAGACAATCAGGTATCTTTTTGATTGGTGGTTTGGGTTGGTGGTGAAAATTTGGATTTGGCCACCGGGCTCCAAAGCACCAACTGCAAGCTGAGACAAGGGCCGCCCCCAAACCCAAGTGCATGACCCACGGCTGCACCTCAAGAGCGGAGCCGGCTGGTTCCGCTTCCGCCAGTGCCGCTGGGCTTGCCTGAGAAAACCACACCGGGGGGTTGCACAAAGGCCCACCAAATGAACTCTTGCCTGGTAGCTGATCAGAGCTAATAGCCAACAGCTCAAATGCTAGGACTTGGGCAACAAATCGACTAGTTGCCAACAAGTACGCATGTGCACTTCAGTTCAGTTAGATATCCCAACTCAGCCACTGGAAGACTCCTAACTGAAAGGGTGGGTTTGGGGTATGCTGTTAAACTCTTGCAGTTCTTGTATGGCAATCAGTTGATGAGACTTGCTGTAAAGCCCAGATAGTAAATGCCATTTGTGTGTGTGTGTGTGTGCGTGTCACATTGGGACTCATTTGCATTGCCAAAGCTTCCAAAGCAGTTATTGTTGATGAACATATGTTATGCCCAAACCAACCTGGTTCCGCTTTGCGAAACAAGTAGCCTGTGACTTCATACGATTTGAAGCAGTTGGTGTCTTGGGAATCTCCCACCCTCTCCCGCCCTTGGGCCAGAATGAAAGCACTCAACAAGTTCCTCTGTACAGGGTAAAGCCAACTGCTCAGACAAAACCTTGAACAGCTGGCAGCCTCTGACTCTGGGGCAAGTCCGTATTTTACACTCGCATGGTCAATCCAAATTCTGGGCACGTCAATCGCAATCTGTGTCTGCGCTTGAGAACAACATGCCCGAAGGGCAGCCCCTTCGAGCCAGAAAGCGATGTTTGGTGGTTTGAGAGCCATGACAAAGATTTCGGATCAAGTCCCTCGCTCGGGAATGCTTGCCAAACGTTCAAACTCAAAAACACAACCCTCATACCCATAAAACTAGCACACTGTAGAAGCAATGATGAAACTAGCAACAATCTGAAGGTCGTTAATTGTCGGCATCGCCACCACCAGCTCAATCCTGGTGCCCATGACCATAACCAGCAGCGTCATCCGAATCGTCACCACCACCACCACCACCACCACCACCACCACCACCACCACCACCACCACCACCACCACCACCACCTGCATCACCGTCATCCTGATCCTCATCCTTGTCATTCTTCCTTCATCACCCTTCATCACCCTTCATCACCCTTCATCATCCTTCATCATTCTTCATTATCCGTGATCATCCTTCATCCTTCATCATCATCACCCTTCATCATCCTCATCCTCATCCTCATCCTCATCCTCATCCTCATCAGCATCAGCATCAGCATCAGCATCATCGTCATCGTCATCGGCATCATCGTCATCGTCATCGTCATCGTCATCGTCATCGTCATCGCCATCGCCATCTTCATCGTCGTCGTCGTCATCATCATCAGCATCATCATCATCATCATCATCATCATCATCATCATCATCATCAATCATCATCAATCTTCCTGAACCAGAAAGTTGTGCAGCGCAGGCTTGACTACATTGCGTTGCGTTGCTTGCAAGGATGTTGATTGCAAGCTATCATACAAGGCAATGATACGCCGAGCAAAGCGATGACACCTCCGACAAATAAGATGGCTGGTGATGATGATGATGATGATGATGATGATGATGATGATGATGATGATGATGATGATGATGATCGCGTTGCGGTGGCATTTGTCCGGTACAGGATCCAATGATATGCCGTCTGCTGCCGCACATTTGACATGAAGCCTTGAAGCGCAGAAAGCTGCTTATTTCACGCATGTGCCAGTCACATATTGCAACCTCTTCTTGGCATCGGGTTGAATCAATTGCCGGTGTTGCACAGGCCACCGTGAAGGATTGTACACAGGTGTTCGGAGAAGCCCAGACCCAATGGCATTGTCCCAACACTCGTCATGCCGCGGACAAAATACAACCACTCCGTCAAAACAACATGCAAGTTTGAGCCTATCAAGGTACATTGAATCAAGGTACGAATTTGGCATTCCCTCGTGCAACACAAAGAACAACAAGTCTTTTTGAGGGTACCTGTTGCAGTTCTTCAAACCCAAAACCGGCAGTTTGCATCGACATCTGCGGAGGCCTCCGCGCGGAAAGCCGGGACAGCAGCTTGCAGCTCTTCCTCCCAGGGCTATTTGTAGGTCCCCCTCTCAGGTGATGTTTAAGCTGGCTACAACCACAGCCAGCGCAGATTTGCGAAAACCAGTCCGAACTTGTTGTCACTGCGAAGTCAGGACGGGAGCCGTGCATGAAATGTGTTGGATGAAGAAACTCTGCGTTCCTTTGCCTTGTAGTTGGCCAGACATGCAAGCGCCTCTTTTGGCGCTGGCATCGTGCGCAGTGCATATTGGCACTGCCCGTCAGGTGAAAAACGCTGTCAGGGTTGGGGGATTCAACAGGAGTACATTCCTCTTCAATGTGGCCCTCAAAGTTCAGGATGGATCAGTTGCCTGCCACCTTGATGTGTTTCGGCTTCAAGTTCAAAATCACAGACCCTAGTGAACTACCATTAAAGACAAAACAAGCAAATTCAATTAGCGGTGCAGTGAGCAAGGAACCTTCAGCATGGGTGCGGGGCCGCAAACCGACACCTATCGGAGATGGCAAAAAGAAGGCGATAGTGGACAATTTGGTCAATGCTCAACCCATGTTCCAGCTGCTTTTTTTGTAATATATGCCCAAAATGTTACCACGCATTGACACAGGCAGCTTCAAGGCAGCTTGTGGAGGGGGTGGGGGTGGGGTGGGGTTGGGACCGTTTTTTGATTAGGAGTGGCTGTTGCTGGAAGCGGCTCGCTACAACGAGTGGCTGGATGTAAGCGCTTGGACCGTGACTACGGGGGAAAGGCAGGTGAAGGGCTTGGGGTTGAACTTGAATAAAAGCTGGGGCTGGCTTTGGGCAAGGTGCGTTCCAGGCAGGCCGAAGCAGTGCTTCCTGTTGCAGGGTATGTTTGATACATTTGTTTGTGCTGGTTTCGTGATTTGAACCAAATTTCTGAAGCCAAATCAAACCAGTTGTAAAGAAGCTAAAAAAATCAAGGCTCCCTGGGGATCCTTGAGCTGCTTGGACCAAATGACTGTCCTCGTCGTCCAGATCCAGCTCCAGCCTTATAGGCTCCTCCCGAGCCGGCTGAAAAAGGACAAAGGCGCGTGGCTGCGAGCGAGGAAAAAATAGCCACGCCCACAGCATACGCTCAGCAGCACACAAAAGAAAACCAAATGCAAAACAGTTTATATCAAGCAACCCAGCATCTAACAAATAGCAAGCCCGCCTGCCTGCCCTCCCGGCCATCAACCAACCAAGCGTTGCAGCCAGCAAGCATTCAAGCAAGCAACATGCACGCATGCGAAGACTCGCCCACGCCTTCGACAACAAGCCAGCAAGCAAGCCACCCAGCAAGCAGGCAAAAAAAGAACACACCAGAAAATGCATAGGAAACGACAACTTACCCAAGACAAGAGGCCAGGGTCCTTGCTACACAGCCAAAAACAGAACAAGTGCAACAAAAACCACAAGTGCAACAAAAACACAACAAGTGCAACACAAACACACATAGATCTCCAGAGCCGAAGCTGAAAAACCCTTCGAGCAAATGTAGAAGAGATTCAGTGCTGTAGGTTCCTTTCATGTGCCCAAAAGACCTGAAAATAAGCGCGCGTGCTACGTCTTTACCGTATTATCCATGCCCGAAAGCGCTGGAACAAACATGCTGACTAGCTGTGGACATGGGAAAAAGATCGACTCCTTGCTGAGAGCACAGAGCCACCTAAATAAATGTCTCAACCACTTCCCACACAGTCAACATCTGCTTAGGCAGTTACTTGTGGAGCCCTTACCATCCCCGTTTTTGCAAACACGATCAAGATAAGCTACAGCTCGCATGGTCTTTGCGTTGTGTCCTTCACAAGACTGATCAAGACACAAGATAAGATAAGATTGCCCCACAAGCTCTCCTGCAAATCAACATGGCAGAAGAAGAAAACAACTTCATAGGGCTCAGAAGACGACCCTCTTCTTGGCTTTATTACATTTTGCATCGGAGTATCCTTTAGCCTTAACCCATCGCCCAGCCCTTCCGGCACGAGCAAGTGGTCCAAGATGTGCCACAAAACTACACTGGTCAATGTAGCATGGCCACAGTGCCGGGAAGCCACCTGAGTCACACTCGAAACCCGGGTAATTGGAGGGTAGTAAGGGACCATCGCAGCCAGAATTGGGTGTGGCCACCTTTAAGATTATTTTCCCTTGATATGGGTGGGTCATTCGAAATTTCAGGTTCTGATTGTGACTCAGCTGGGAAAACCGGCACCAAAACGTGATACTGAACCCACTACTGCAAATTGGGTGGCTTTTGATTGTTGCACATGAGTCAAGGGTCCAATTGGATCAAATGCTTTGTCTCATATGGCCATGGGTCAAAACCCATATATAACCCAGTGAACATCCCAATCCCGCGAAAATGGACGAAAATGTGTGGTGCACCCACCCAAAAATGGGATCCCATTGGTTTTGACCACCACAGCCCTATGCGTTGAAAGACCCCGGCCCAGTCCATGGGCTCATCCGCCGCCGGGTCGGCCTGCGGATTCTCAGACCGGCTCGCCTGCCCCCGCGCTTCTGGGGAGTTACAGCACCTGTTACCGAGGCCATCCCGGTCAGCAAATGCAGAATCAACGTTCTCCAAGGCCAAGAGCTCGCCCCAACACGCAGTGCCACATGCGAGAAGCCGTCAAGCAGATTCTTGCGAGGACAAAAACTAAGCTCGATCGTCAACTGAACGAAAGGACACCTGAAAGGTTGTCAAACAGGGCACTATTCTAGGCCAGTCTCTCCATGCCATGTCATGTGGGCCACTTGTGCCAAGATCCAAGTGTATCTTGCGCAGCATGTCGACGACTACCAGCTGCATATTAGCCCTGCCAGGGCACCGTTGCTTGGGCTTTTGACTAGCACAGCGCGTACGAGCGGCAAGTGGCAAGCAAGTCGATCGTACCGGCAGAGCCGAACGCTGTGAAATCCAAGGTCCAGCAAAGAGCCCATGCGCAAGGCACACATCAGGCTTCAGGGCACACGGTATGTAGCAAGTCTGCAGTTTACGCGGCACACTTTTAGAACCATTTCTAGCATTCTCAAAGTTGCTCTGCAGAAACTAGCAGAACCATGGGCCCGGTTTGACAAATCCTGCAAATTGCGTGATGTGCTGCTTCTTCAGGGGTCCACAGTATGTTCCACGGACGGCATGAGGTCTGCAACCGGGAGGACAATGTCCATCTCTGTCGCTGACATATTCTCAAAGTGTGGCAACCCTGCAAATGGATTCTCTTGTTTTCATTGTGACAACCCACCCCCAAAACATATGATTGCATCTGGGAACTCTACTTTCATTGGCCCAATCTGGGAAGTAGACGTGCCGTGACCGGGTTACCCCTCCTTTTGCGTATGCGCCCGCCAAACCCTCCCTCCCCGGAATGGTTCCGCGCCGTCAGAAGCTCCTGGCCATCGGTTTGAACGAACCGCTCGCGGCTTCCCTTGGGCCTTGATCACACTTGTGGGGCTTCAAGGGAAAGCCAGCGCAATAAAAATTGCCAGGGAAGGCCGCTGAGCAATTGATCCCATGACAATATCGAAGGCCTTCTGAGCCAAGACTTGATAAAGCGGTCAATGAGCCTGCACCCTGAAGGAACTCCAAGTCGGCTTGCGCTGCTTGGGAACTCAAAGCGCTGTTCTTCAGGGTGGTTCAACAAAGCTCCCGTTTTCAATTTGTCCATTCGGCCGAAACTTCTAGATTCCATAATTTCATGACCGCTGGATGAATGCTGAAACTCAAGCTCTCTTCCAACAAAATCCGGGCAGGTCTATGTGCTGATTACATGATGGACATCTCAAAAGATGCACTGCATGGCGCTGTCCTATCGTCTGTGCTGACTGGCTGCTCCTTTCAGAATCATTTCAGATGTGCTGTCACCGTGACAGCGTATTGACCAAACCTCGAGGGTAGACCTTCAGTTCACTCCCTCAGTTCATTGGCGAACCCTTCCGGGGTTTCTTGCTTTAGGGACCCCTCCAAATTGGACGACTTCGGTTTTCCTCCTGG